GTCAGCGCCGTACCTCACTGCGTCAGCGCCGTACCTCACTGCGTCAGCGCCGTACCTCACTGCGTCAGCGCCGTACCTCACTGCGTCAGCACCGTACCTCACTGCGTCAGCGCCGTACCTCACTGCGTCAGCACCGTACCTCACTGCGTCAGCGCCGTACCTCACTGCGTCAGTGCCGTACCTCACTGCGTCAGCGCCGTACCTCACTGCGTCAGCGCCGTACCTCACTGCGTCAGCGCCGTACCTCACTGCGTCAGCGCCGTACCTTACTGCGTCAGCGGCATACCTCACTGCGTCATTGCCGTACCTCACTGCGTCAGCGCCGTACCTCACTGCGTCAGCGCCGTACCTCACTGCGTCAGCGCCGTACCTCACTGCCTCAGCGCCGTACCTCACTGCCTCAGTGCCGTACCTCACTGCCTCAGCGCCGTACCTCACTGCGTCAGCGCCGTACCTCACTGCCTCAGCGCCATACCTCACTGCCTCAGCGCCGTACCTCACTGCCTCAGCGCCGTACCTCACTGCCTCAGCGCCGTACCTCACTGCCTCAGCGCCATACCTCACTGCCTCAGCGCCGTACCTCACTGCCTCAGCGCCGTACCTCACTGCCTCAGCGCCGTACCTCACTGCCTCAGCGCCGTACCTCACTGCCTCAGCGCCGTACCTCACTGCCTCAGCGCCGTACCTCACTGCCTCAGCGCCGTACCTCACTGCCTCAGCGCCATACCTCACTGCCTCAGCGCCGTACCTCACTGCCTCAGCGCCGTACCTCACTGCCTCAGCGCCGTACCTCACTGCCTCAGCGCCGTACCTCACTGCCTCAGCGCCGTACCTCACTGCCTCAGCGCCGTACCTCACTGCCTCAGCGCCGTACCTCACTGCCTCAGCGCCGTACCTCACTGCCTCAGCGCCGTACCTCACTGCCTCAGCGCCGTACCTCACTGCCTCAGCGCCGTACCTCACTGCCTCAGCGCCATACCTCACTGCCTCAGCGCCGTACCTCACTGCCTCAGCGCCATACCTCACTGCCTCAGCGCCGTACCTCACTGCCTCAGCGCCGTACCTCACTGCCTCAGCGCCGTACCTCACTGCCTTGATAATCATCTTCCCAGAAGCTCCTGCGTCGCCGATTACTTTCCCGTTGCGCTTGGTAGGACGAAGATTCACCACGTATTTCACTAGAAACGGATACAGGAGGGATCGGGAAAACAAATCAGTTGATTCTGAGCTGATATGGTCTTTAACCGGAATGTAAAAGGTTCGAAAGAGGGGAAGTGAATGATGCAGCAAATACTGCAGCTGCAAACACTCAGGTGCAGCAAACACTCTCAGCTGCAGCAAACACTCTCAGCTGCAGCAAACACTCTCAGCTGCAGCAAACAATCTCAGCTGCAGCAGACACTGCAAACATGAGCTGCCGCAAGTTGCTACAGCACACGTGCAGCCAACACCACCCATTGACGAGCCGCAAGAAGACTTCAGGCGTTATCGTACCTGCATATCATGCGTATGCCGGTTCTAATCAAATATGTTGTAAATTTTGAGTCAACGATGGACCGCCGCCACTGCTGGAGAAACCGCCAGCCCAAAAAGAATCTAATGCGAGTCGTTACTACGCTTACCGATTGTCTTTCCCTTCCAACGGAGAGGCCTAGCCTGAGCGGCAGAAACGGCAGAAGAGCCGCCGAGGTGAGAGAGTAGCGGCGCGAGCAATGACGTCGCCGACGCGCCGTAGGCCGTGCAGACCGTCGCACCTGCAGGCAGACAGGCAGGCAGACAGGCAGGCAGGCGCGCGGCAGCAGCACGATTTGAAACGTGACTCCGTGCGAGACGAATCGTGCTCAACGACCTCATACTAACGGATCTGCCTATCCGACCGAAACTAAACAGCAGTCAGTGACAGTGACAGTGACAGTGACAATGCAGAGTCTCGGGTGCGATAAATGAAGTAAGCAGCCGACACTCAGAATAAGTTGAAGGTCTTACAGAGCAGCAGGCGGCAGAAATGAGACAATGCGACGCGGCGCTCCATGTTTTGAGGTCGAATTTATTCGTAGTAGGCTAGGTTTTCGGCGAACCACAAGAATAAAGCCACGCGCTTTGAGTCAAAGAGCCAATTATGTGAGCGTCTGGTAAGAAGTTTCCCTGCATATCGGAGGTCGATTGTAAGCGGCGAGTGACACCTGGTTGGGTTTGGTGAGTGACACCTGGCCTTTGAAGATAAGCCGTAGCATCCAATATTACTAGTATTATGATAAGTCCTAACTCATCGCTGAAAGGAACCGACAAGACGGCTCCTTCGCTCAGGTGGTGGCGCGAGGGGACGGATCGCATCGACGGCATCCGTCGTGTCGCAAATAGGGTTACGCGCGGGACTGGCCGCACGATCGCGCCCTCCCACCTCGCTGTCCCGGCCCCCCATCTCACTCGCCGTCACCTCGCCGTCCACGTTGCTGACTTGACCGGCGAGCTCGAGGAGTCAAAACCTAGGAGCTGCTTTTGTGTTACTGGACGAAAATCTGTAACGCATTCAAGTGCTGTGAAGCTGTTTTTGAATTTGCATACACAATGAAGCCATACTTCTACATTAGAAAATGTTTTTGTCCAGAAGATTTCTTGACTCATCAAATTTCCATTACGCCAATTTTTATTTCTCACAACTTAGGGGAAATTTTGTTGGTGTACGAAGTCAAAATAACAAAAGTGCTAGTACTACATTACATGATTGCACTTCGCTTGACAAAAGTAGGCAAGGCTTGACTTGCAAAATAGTGAACCCAAACCCAACTTGAAAGAGCGCAGGGACGAGTTTGCCGGTCGAAACAAAATTTGGACCGGACTGACAAGTTTGTACCGTTTCAAACGTTGCGGACGTGCAAATCGAACACCTTTGATTGGTTCCCGCCAAAATTGAAACATTCTCCTCATGTGTGGCGTCGCATTTCTCATTGCTAAGCCCGCACGACAATTGCATAGGCGATCGTTTCAGTCTGTCCAAGCAATTTGGGCCCAGCTTATGTTTCAAGTTGGGATGGGGTGAACTACTACCAATGTTGCGTCGGAAGTTATAAGTAGCTAGGCTAGGCATAGGCTATGTCTGGACTTAGGCCCTCGTTATCTAGACATGTATTAATCAGAATGTCCGTCGTGTTGTATCCGAGAGCTACGAGTGTAAGCTTTTCAGTCCGTCCCTATGCGCCCGCGTTTTTCCGTCCTGTCGCCACCGCGATCTCCTCTCGCGTCCCTTACCCACGTGATCACTTCTCCTGCCCCATAGCCCTCCTGTTCCCCCGTCCAGTCACCCGCCCATTCTGCCGTCCCGTCGTCCTCCCGTTCCGTCGCGATCGTCGTCGCCCTTCCGTGGCTCTCCCGTTGCTCCCATCGCCCATCCCATCGCCCATCCCATCGCCCATCCCGTCGCCCATACCGTCGCCCATCCCGTCGCCCATCCCGTCGCGCATCCCGTCGCCCATCCCGTCCCTCCCCTCGTCGCCCACGCCAACGCCCCGAAACTCCCTCCCGTCGCCCTTCCTCTCTCCCATCCCGTCGCTCCCCTCGTCGCCCTCGCACACGCCCGGAAACTCCCTCCCGTCGCCCTTCCTCTCTCCCATCCCGTCGCTCCCCTCGTCGCCCTCGCACACGCCCCGGAACTCCCTCCCGTCGCCCTTCCTCTCTCCCATCCCGTCCCTCCCCTCGTCGCCCTCGCCAACGCCCCGAAACTCCCTCCCGTCGCCCTTCCTCTCTCCCATCCCGTCGCTCCCCTCGTCGCCCTCGCCAACGCCCCGAAACTCCCTCCCGTCGCCCTTTCTCTCTCCCATCCCGTCCCTCCCCTCGTCGCCCTCGCCAACGCCCCGAAACTCCCTCCCGTCACCCTTCCTCTCTCCCATCCCGTCGCTCCCCTCGTCGCCCTCGCCAACGCCCCAAAACTCCCTCCCGTCGCCCTTCCTCTCTCAACACACTACTGTACAGGTACCGTAAAACTACTAGTGACCAAGCATCTTGATTATCATCAAGTGCAACTACTGTACAGGTACCGTAAAACTCACTTGGAGTGGCTGTGTTGACGTGCAGCTGTGTAACGCTGGGGTTTGGCATCTGAACAAGTCGCCAAACAGGGAGATGAGATGAGGGGCTGTGCTTGAGAATATCTATCATTGGCGAGTTATCTACAACAGATGAGAACATTGCTCTTCATTAGTCACACACATACACCACTGCATAAATCCCAAAAACACTTCCTATTTCACTTTAGACGCCTTTCCACAGAGCGCAAACTTGTTCCCTGCGCGTCCCACAGCCAGGTGTGATGACGCCAATTGGGCAATAGCCCCACGCATGTTCGCGTCTGACGCCACCGCCTGCTCAATCCGCGCTCGGAAGCTGTACCGCTTGCGGCGAGAGTTGGGTCGCGTGATGTTGATAAAGGTGAACGATGACGAGGTGGCTCCTTGAGAGCAGGACACTACAGAGTCATAGACAGGTTGCTCTCCTCCGTTGAGGTTCAACACAAGCATCTTGATTATCAAGCTGTATGACGATGAAGAGTACCTGTCAACAGGGCAAGCAGAGACACCGGTTATGATTAGAGAATACAGCACTGCCAGTGTACTGGTCAAGCCAGTGCAAACGCCTGAAGACTAGGACGAGAGGACAGTGGTTGGCTGGTGGTTGTCCGGACGTCTCCAAAACATGAGGCCCAAACTCGCAAATCTTGCAAAGGACCATGTGACTTTACAGGATGCGTGTCAGCGCCGACAGTGGAACAAGTGCATCTCTCACGATTTTTAAAAGGGATTGTTGTGACTCTGCAGGACTCGCTCAGGTCACGAAAGTGTTTTTTAATGACTCGAAAGCTCCTCTCTCAAGTCAGCGTGACTCTGCAGGACTCGTGCCAGAGCCATTGGAACAAGTAAAGTAGGGGACAGGCGAACGAGGGGACAGGGCCGTACTTCACTGCCTTGATCGAAATTCTCCCCGAAGCTCCTGCGTCACCAACTAACTTCCCGTTGAGCTTGGTAGGACGCAGTTTGGCCACGTATTTCCCTATAAACGGGAGAGAGGGAACGTAACGAGTAGGGATGGAGGGGAAATGCATAGCAGCACACACTTTAACTGCAGCACACAATTTAACTGCAGCACACAAATCAGCTGCAGCAAACAACATCCATTAACAAGCTGTTTCAGTTCTTATAATGAATAAAGCATGACGAATTCTCTTGGTATCATTACGACCTGCAAAGTCTCTATGCACACAAACGAATCATACAGCCAACGGTGGGCGGTCCATTAAAGCCCGCGTCTCATATTTCACAACTCCCAACCAAGTGTAATACGTTTGAAACCGGGTAACCACTCAAGCAGTCGCAACTTTGTTGGGTTTGGTTGGAAGCGATCACTGCTGGCAACGCTTGGGTTGATCCTAACGCACTTACCGTATCTCTTTCCCTTATAAATCAGAGGCTTGGCCTGAGCGGTAGAAGCGGCAGAAGCGGCAGAAGAGCCGCCTTGGTGAGCGAGGAGCGCGTCGAGAAATGATGTGGTCGACGCGCCGTAGGCAGTGCAGACCGTCGCACCTGCAGGCAGGGGGGGGAGAGAGAGAGCAGGATTTGAGGCGGGACGTGGGGAAGGAATGATGCTCGTTATTGACCCGACGGATCTGCGACCTCTGCTCTGTTATCCCACGAATGCTTTGAGTCGACTCAAAAGGTGTGTTTTGAGTCGACTCAAAAGGTGTGTTTTGAGTCGACTCAAAACACACCTGAGGCGGGACGTGGGGAAGGAATGATGCTCGTTATTGACCCGACGGATCTGCGGCCTACGAATGCTCGTTGGAAACTGTAAGCAGCGGCAGCAGCGCAAGTGACAGTGTAAGTGACGGTCTTGATGCGGAATCGAACTTAGCAGCAACCCACTCGGGTGACTTTAGTATTTAGGTGACTTTTGAGTCTTTAGGTGACTCGACTGAAAAAGCGCAGCAGAAGGGCTTACAGAGCAGCAGGAGGCAGAGGAGAATCAGCGCGTGGCGCTCCATGATGCCGCCTGGTCTCGAATGCTCGTCCGCTAGGGTTTCGCAAGAACCACTAAGAACGAGTCACTGGCACAGCTGCGGACTCAGTAAGCGTGCCTCTTGGAACACCTTCTGATTGAAACAGCGTGGTACTACTACTTATAGTACCACTAGGATCCTTGCATGAAGTTGGTGGTAGCATTTTGAGGTGTCTTTTTTTTTTGAGGTCGGTCGAAACGGCCTATAATCGGCCTACGTGCACGAACTGACACGTTGCACATCACAGTGACTCGTAGGCAGATTGTAGGCCTGTTTAAACCACTCGACGAGTGATGCATAACAACCGGTAGGCCGATTGTTAGGCGATGCAACCAGTCAGCGAGTGACACCTAATCAATTGGACGCCACTGAAGATAAGGCGTTTCGGATCCACACTTGGGCGCCTTCGAGCAGGATGCATCATGCACGAGTTGACTTTCGAGTCGCTCAAAAGTCAACCCATGCAACCATGATCTATCGCTTAGTCAGATGCGGAAACCTAACTTTAGCCAACGCACGACGACGTTCCTACGCAAACGGACAGTACCAATACGACAGCGACTTTCGACAGCGCGCATGTCGAATCGCTGGGTAGGTACTACACCACACGCCGCTATTACAGGCGGGCACTAATAATGCTGCGCTGGTTCGAGGAATCTAGTTTCGCCGCGCTGCTTCCACGAATCGAAAAAGGTCTCGTTGCTTCTAAGAATTGAGTGGGTAATCGGGATGACGTCAAATCCTCGATAAGGAAGTATCAAGCAAAGATAACAATACTTTAACATGATTGTACACCTAGTTAATACATTGCATCAAGCATTGGAGATATCAAAGTGCCTAATATTATCCGTAGTGGAATTGGATCTGTGGCGATGCATCTTTTCCAATCTACAAAGTGGGACATCTTCAAACATTTTAAGCGTTTTAGTGAAATATATAAGGTGGTTTTTTTGCAATAGTAATGTTTTTGCATGACTAAACAGTAAATTGAACCATCTTATCAAAAGTATCGCTCACCTACAAGCTCCATCCCCCAATCTTCATTCATCCTCATTCCACATTCAGCACAGGGGACCAGCCCTGCGCTCCTCACTCACACGGCGGCCGGCGATGGTGTCACGCCGCATTGCTAATTTCTGCGCCGAATTCGGCATTCCTATTCGTGGAGGCTAGAAACCTTCCGAGATATCTCAGACGCGAACGCCACGGCGTTGCTATTGCGGCGTATAGGAATCCGGCAGGTTACTCCATCGCCGCACGATGATCAGGGGGGAACCGGTTTCAGGCTCCTCGCTCAGACGCCGCACTGCGGTTCTCTCGCTCTCCGCTGCGGACGACGCTGCATTGCTGCTGCTGTTTTGCCTAAATCGCCGTTCCTGTAGCTGCGCTTAAAATCTCCTTCCAACGTTGCTCCATCGCTGCACGATGACCAGGGGAGAACCGGCTTCAGGCTCGTCGCTCAGACGCCGCACCGCGGTGACGAGTCGCTACCCGTGGTCGACGCGGCAGTGCCTCGTGTGCGTGCTGGCCGTCGCCGCTCTCAACGTGCTCCTTTTCCACCTTCACGGTTCGTGTCAACAGAATGCGTGAATCGCTTCCAAAAAATCTCAGAAGTTGAATGGTATGCGTGAATCTCATTTACGAATTTTCAAAAGTGACAAATAATGTCTCGAGTTTAGCAACTGGTTCAAGTCAGGGAGCGGAGTTTGCATCACATAGGAACCAGAGGTAATGTTGTCCACGGAACCCTATAGCATTCAGCATCCAGTTCATGGCTGTGCGTGCTCCTCAGTCAACCCTGAACTCAGGTAAATAATAATCCTTCAAGCATGACAGCCAGGTTGGGGATGTGCAGAGAGGTGCGGTAAGGTGAGGTGCGAGTGAGGTGTGGTGGGGTGCGGTGAGGCGAGGTCACAGATTGAGTATTCCCGCAGTTGGGATCAGAAAGGTGAGGTGAAGGTGGTGCTGTTGGTGCCATCTGTTCCATCATGCCCTGCAGCGAAACCTGTTTCTAACGAGTATGCAATTCCTTCCTATCCTTGCTCCTTTCTTCCCGCCCCACGCTGATCCCGCCTGCAGGAGACAGTATCGAGCAAGCTTCTAGAGGGTTCCGTGCGCTTATACTGGAGAGCAGTGGGCGAAGAGGGTCGACAGCAGGGGGGGACGATGATGCAGACTGGGAGGGGGAGGCAGCCTGGAGTGCAGCGGAGGGGGGAGGGGGGGTTGGAGAGGGGGGTGGAGAGGCAGAGCCGACAACAGACATCAACATGAAACGGGTTTACGATGGGATCAAGTTTGCCAATGAGAAGGGGGGGAAGTGGACTCAGGTGAGGGTGCGGACTGGTGAGGGTGGGGAGGGTAGGAACTGGTAGAAAATCCCTGACCTCACTCATGCTCCTCATCCCTCCCAGCATCTCCGTCACCCCCATCCATCAGGGGTGGAAGTTGCAGTACAAGACAAGGGATACAAGTGGGCGAGGAGTCGCTGAGGGTGTTGTGTTTGTGCATGGTGTACCCTCTCGCATCGTCCTCCTAACCGCCCCTTCTCCCTCCTCGTTCTCCCCATCCCTCAGGGGTGGAAGCTGCAATACAAGGGGGACGAGTGGGACGACGAGCCGCTGAGGGTGTTTGTGGTGCCACACTCCCACAACGACCCCGGCTGGCTGCTCACAGTCGAGCAATACTATGCGCGGAGCTCCCAGCACATCCTGCACACCATTCTGCACTCTCTTTCCGAGGTATTTACCCTCTCTTCAGGCCACTCCCCTCTCAATCATCACTGCTGGTATTATCACAGCACAGCACACAGCATCGCACTCCCACAAAGACCCTGGCTGGGTGCTCCCAGTCGAGCAGTACTACGCCAGGAGCTCCCAGCACATCCTGCACACCATCCTTCGCTCTCTTTCCGAGGTCACTCCCCTCCCCCTACTTTCTCTTATCAGGCCACTCCCTTCTCAAATATCCCTGGTCATTCGTAGCAATACCACACAGCACCGCACAGCATTGCACAGCACCGCACAGCACCACACTCCCACAACGACCCCGGCTGGCTGCTCACAGTGGAGCAGCACCATCCTGGAGTCTCTCTCCCAGGTCTCTACTCTCTCTCCCAGGTCTCTACTCTCTCTCCCAGGTCTCTACTCTCTCTCCCAGGTCTCTACTCTCTCTCCCAGGCCACTACTCGCTCGTCCAGGCCACTAATGTCTAATTCCTTCCTCGTGCTGGTAGCAGCGCAGCATCGCACTCTCGCACTTCCACCACCCTCACTGGCTGCTCACAGTCGAGCAGTACCACGCCTGGAGTTTTTGAGAATTCTCAAGAGTTCCCATCCCAGCACGTCCTGCTCCTGCACACCATCCTTTGCTCTCTCTCACAGGTCACTCCACTCCGTTTTCTCGCGTTTCCTCTGTTCCAGACTCCACTGTTCTCCGGCTTTCATTCCACGCGGATAGTGTGCACACAACACAATGCCCTGAGTTCCCATGCCGCGCTCTCTCCCCCATGTCTCCACCCCTTTCCCTTCTAGGTCTCCATTCTGTTTCCCAGGTTACCCTCTGGCTCTCACGCTCATACCTGCCTATCAAACTCGCTCCTCACACGCCAGTTTAGCTCGTGAAATCCTAATAAGTTTGATAGTTCTGGATTGCAACCTCCATGCCCCATGCCCCACCGCCCCCCCCTTCCTCCAGTCCCCCTCTCGTCGTTTTATCTGGGAGGAGATGTCGTATCTGAGCCGCTGGTGGGTGGACGCCACACAGGAGGAGAGGGAGGGGATGAGGGCGCTGGTGCAGTCTGGGCAGCTGGAGATAGTGGGGGGCGGGTGGGTCATGAACGACGAGGTGAGTGGGATGATGTGGGGAAAGGGGTAACGTTATGATCTATTAACGGATGATGAGGGCGCTGGGCTGGTGCGGTCGGGGCAGCTGGAGATTGTGGTGGGCGTGTGGGTCATGAACGATGAGGTGAGCTGTGGGGGAGGGGGAGTGAGTGGTGTGCGGAAAGAGGGCAGGGACCTGAGAGCAGCAGTGCTTTTGGGATAATGAGGGTACTGGTGCAGTCAGGGCAGCTGGACATAGTGGGGGGAGGGTGGGTCATGAACGACGAGGTGAGCTGTGGAAGTGAGGGATAGGCAGTAGCCGGTCAGTCCAGTAGCCGGTCAGTCCAGTAGCCGGTCAGTCCAGTAGCCGGTCAGTCCAGTAGCCGGTCAGTCCTGTTTGGTAAAGATGCTGTAAGTTGTAAGACACGTATTGTTTTTTCAGCAAGAAAAAAACAATCCCTCCCTCTTCCTCGCCCCATATGCTCGTTTCCATTGCAGGCCAATTCTCACTACTACGCCATTATAGAACAGGTGAGCGAGCCGGGCTTGAGGTGAAGGCCACAGTGAAGTAATCTCAAGAGGCACAGCAATGCATTCACCTGTCAGGCTGTCAGTTGACTGACCCTACCCATCGCGCTCCCCACATCCATCCATCCCCTTACCTTACATTCCTTTTTTGTCAAAGGAGGAGTTTTGAGGCGCCTCAAAAGTCGCTCCCCACATCCATCCATCCCCTTACCTTACAGTCCTTTCTTGTCGAAGGAGGAACCATACTGAAATGAATACTTTCTCTATTTCCTCCGCTCCCCCTCCCCTCTTCCCTCCTCCACGCCGCCCACCTCCTCCCCCTTCCCTTCCCCCCAGCTCACAGAGGGCAACACATGGCTGTACGACACGCTCGGAGTGACTCCCACCAACAGCTGGGCCATCGACCCCTTTGGCCACTCCGCCACCATGCCGTACCTCTTGAAGAGGTGGGTTTGAATGTGAAGGTAGGGTAAGCAGCTGTGATGGCAGGCGGATTCATGAGTTGAGGCACCTAAGAAGTCGGCCATCGACCCCTTTGGCCACTCCGCCACCATGCCGTACCTCTTGAAGAGGTGGGTTTGAATGTGAAGGTAGGGTAAGCAGCTGTGATGGCAGGCGGATTCATGAGTTGAGGCACCTAAGAAGTCGGCCATCGACCCCTTTGGCCACTCCGCCACCATGCCGTACCTCTTGAAGAGGTGGGTTTGAATGTGAAGGTAGGGTAAGCAGCTGTGATGGCAGGCGGATTCATGAGTTGAGGCACCTAAGAAGTCGGCCATCGACCCCTTTGGCCACTCCGCCACCATGCCGTACCATACCACACGATTCCAACATGCCGTACCATACCACACCATACCAACATGCCATACCATACCACACCATACCACCATGCCATACCATACCACACCATACCACCATGCCATACCAAGCCACACCATACCACACCATACCACCATGCCATACCATACCACACCATGCCACCATGCCATACCATACCACACCATACCACCATGCCATACCATACCACACCATACCACACCATACCACACCATACCACCATGCCATACCATACCACACCATGCCACCATGCCATACCATACCACACCATACCACCATGCCATACCATACCACACCATACCACACCATACCACACCATACCACCATGCCATACCATACCACACCATGCCACCATGCCATACCATGCCACACCATACCACCATGCCATACCATACCACACCATACCACCATGCCATACCATACCTCCTGAAGAGGTGGTGTCTCTATTGTGGTTGCTTTGATAGGTAAGCATGTTGGACGAGCAGACATGCCTTGTAGCGTATCCCCGTTATTGTCCTCTCAGGTCCGGATTGATACAAACCTGCCAATCTAGTGCATTCATCCACTTCAAGGTCACATCTGCAAACCTTGAATCCATCTCTTACTGTCCCATGTCATGTCATCCTCGTTTTAATCATATCCGATTTATGAAGCCATTTTGTGCTGTGCTGCTGACCCTTCTTATCCCCGTTTGCATCAGATCCGGGTTCGCCAACATGCTCATTCAGCGCACGCACTACGAGGTGAAAAAGGCCCTGGCGAGGCAGAAGCACCTCGAGTTCTTCTGGCGCCAGGCATGGGACCAGACAGGGGGAACAATGGGCCAGTCGGAGAGGACAGTGGGCCAGTCGGGGGATACATTCAACAGTACAATGGGAGATGAGCTGTTGCAAGGACAGGGGAGGTCAGAAGGGCAGCAGAGAGGAGGTGTGCAACGGCAGCCAGGGGCAGAAGCAGAGGCGGCAGCAGCGACAGCAGCAGCAGGGGGGGAGGAGGAGGGCAGCACGGATATTCTGTGCCACATGATGCCTTTTTTCTCGTATGACATACCGCACACCTGTGGGCCCAACCCGGGTGTGTGCTGCCAGGTGCGTTACACATACATAAGTGCTGCCAGGTGCGTTACACATACATAAGTGCTGCCAGGTGCGTTACACATACATAAGTGCTGCCAGGTGCGTTACAGATACATAAGTGCTGCCAGGTGCGTTACACATACATAAGTGCTGCCAGGTGCGTTCCACATACATAAGTGCTGCCAGGTGCGTTACACATACATAAGTGCTGCCAGGTGCGTTACACATACATAAGTGCTGCCAGGTGCGTTACACATACATAAGTGCTGCCAGGTGCGTTACACATACATAAGTGCTGCCAGGTGCGTTACAGATACATAAGTGCTGCCAGGTGCGTTACACATACATAAGTGCTGCCAGGTGCGTTACACATACATAAGTGCTGCCAGGTGCGTTACACATACATAAGTGCTGCCAGGTGCGTTACAGATACATAAGTGCTGCCAGGTGCGTTACACATACATAAGTGCTGCCAGGTGCGTTACACATACATAAGTGCTGCCAGGTGCGTTACAGATACATAAGTGCTGCCAGGTGCGTTACACATACATAAGTGCTGCCAGGTGCGTTACACATACATAAGTGCTGCCAGGTGCGTTACACATACATAAGTGCTGCCAGGTGCGTTACAGATACATAAGTGCTGCCAGGTGCGTTACACATACATAAGTGCTGCCAGGTGCGTTACAGATACATAAGTGCTGCCAGGTGCGTTACACATACATAAGTGCTGCCAGGTGCGTTACACATACATAAGTGCTGCCAGGTGCGTTACACATACATAAGTGCTGCCAGGTGCGTTACAGATACATAAGTGCTGCCAGGTGCGTTACACATACATAAGTGCTGCCAGGTGCGTTACACATACATAAGTGCTGCCAGGTGCGTTACACATACATAAGTGCTGCCAGGTGCGTTACAGATACATAAGTGCTGCCAGGTGCGTTACACATACATAAGTGCTGCCAGGTGCGTTACACATACATAAGTGCTGCCAGGTACGTTACACATACATAAGTGCTGCCAGGTGCGTTACACATACATAAGTGCTGCCAGGTGCGTTACACATACATAAGTGCTGCCAGGTGCGTTACACATACATAAGTGCTGCCAGGTGCGTTACAGATACATAAGTGCTGCCAGGTGCGTTACACATACATAAGTGCTGCCAGGTGCGTTACAGATACATAAGTGCTGCCAGGTGCGTTACACATACATAAGTGCTGCCAGGTGCGTTACACATACATAAGTGCTGCCAGGTGCGTTACAGATACATAAGTGCTGCCAGGTGCGTTACAGATACATAAGTGCTGCCAGGTGCGTTACACATACATAAGTGCTGCCAGGTGCGTTACACATACATAAGTGCTGCCAGGTGCGTTACACATACATAAGTGCTGCCAGGTGCGTTACAGATACATAAGTGCTGCCAGGTGCGTTACAGATACATAAGTGCTGCCAGGTGCGTTACACATACATAAGTGCTGCCAGGTGCGTTACACAAACATAAGTGCTGCCAGGTGCGTTACACATACATAAGTGCTGCCAGGTGCGTTACACATACATAAGTGCTGCCAGGTGCGTTACACATACATAAGTGCTGCCAGGTGCGTTACAGATACATAAGTGCTGCCAGGTGCGTTACAGATACATAAGTGCTGCCAGGTGCGTTACAGATACATAAGTGCTGCCAGGTGCGTTACACATACATAAGTGCTGCCAGGTGCGTTACACATACATAAGTGCTGCCAGGTGCGTTACAGATACATAAGTGCTGCCAGGTGCGTTACACATACATAAGTGCTGCCAGGTGCGTTACACATACATAAGTGCTGCCAGGTGCGTTACACATACATAAGTGCTGCCAGGTGCGTTACAGATACATAAGTGCTGCCAGGTGCGTTACACATACATAAGTGTTGCCAGGTGCGTTACACATACATAAGTGCTGCCAGGTGCGTTACAGATACATAAGTGCTGCCAGGTGCGTTACAGATACATAAGTGCTGCCAGGTGCGTTACACATACATAAGTGCTGCCAGGTGCGTTACACATACATAAGTGCTGCCAGGTGCGTTACAGATACATAAGTGCTGCCAGGTGCGTTACACATACATAAGTGCTGCCAGGTGCGTTACAGATACATAAGTGCTGCCAGGTGCGTTACAGATACGTAAGTGCTGCCAGGTGCGTTACACATACATAAGTGCTGCCAGGTGCGTTACACATACATAAGTGCTGCCAGGTGCGTTACACATACATAAGTGCTGCCAGGTGCGTTACAGATACATAAGTGCTGCCAGGTGCGTTACACATACATAAGTGCTGCCAGGTGCGTTACACATACATAAGTGCTGCCAGGTGCGTTACACATACATAAGTGCTGCCAGGTGCGTTACAGATACATAAGTGCTGCCAGGTGCGTTACACATACATAAGTGCTGCCAGGTGCGTTACACATACATAAGTGCTGCCAGGTGCGTTACACATACATAAGTGCTGCCAGGTGCGTTACAGATACATAAGTGCTGCCAGGTGCGTTACACATACATAAGTGCTGCCAGGTGCGTTACACATACATAAGTGCTGCCAGGTGCGTTACACATACATAAGTGCTGCCAGGTGCGTTACACATACATAAGTGCTGCCAGGTGCGTTACACATACATAAGTGCTGCCAGGTGCGTTACACATACATAAGTGCTGCCAGGTGCGTTACACATACATAAGTGCTGCCAGGTGCGTTACACATACATAAGTGCTGCCAGGTGCGTTACACATACATAAGTGCTGCCAGGTGCGTTACACATACATAAGTGCTGCCAGGTGCGTTACACATACATAAGTGCTGCCAGGTGCGTTACAGATACATAAGTGCTGCCAGGTGCGTTACACATACATAAGTGCTGCCAGGTGCGTTACACATAGATAAGTGCTGCCAGGTGCGTTACAGATACATAAGTGCTGCCAGGTGCGTTACACATACATAAGTGCTGCCAGGTGCGTTACACATACATAAGTGCTGCCAGGTGCGTTACACATACATAAGTGCTGCCAGGTGCGTTACAGATACATAAGTGCTGCCAGGTGCGTTACACATACATAAGTGCTGCCAGGTGCGTTACACATACATAAGTGCTGCCAGGTGCGTTACAGATACATAAGTGCTGCCAGGTGCGTTACACATACATAAGTGCTGCCAGGTGCGTTACAGATACATAAGTGCTGCCAGGTGCGTTACAGATACATAAGTGCTGCCAGGTGCGTTACACATACATAAGTGCTGCCAGGTGCGTTACACATACATAAGTGCTGCCAGGTGCGTTACAGATACATAAGTGCTGCCAGGTGCGTTACACATACATAAGTGCTGCCAGGTGCGTTCCACATACATAAGTGCTGCCAGGTGCGTTACACATACATAAGTGCTGCCAGGTGCGTTACACATACATAAGTGCTGCCAGGTGCGTTACACATACATAAGTGCTGCCAGGTGCGTTACACATACATAAGTGCTGCCAGGTGCGTTACACATACATAAGTGCTGCCAGGTGCGTTACACATACATAAGTGCTGCCAGGTGCGTTACACATACATAAGTGCTGCCGGGTGCGTTACAGATACATAAGTGCTGCCAGGTGCGTTACACATACATAAGTGCTGCCAGGTGCGTTACACATACATAAGTGCTGCCAGGTGCGTTACACATACATAAGTGCTGCCAGGTGCGTTCCACATACATAAGTGCTGCCAGGTGCGTTACACATACATAAGTGCTGCCAGGTGCGTTACACATACATAAGTGCTGCCAGGTGCGTTACACATACATAAGTGTTGCCAGGTGCGTTACACATACATAAGTGCTGCCAGGTGCGTTACAGATACATAAGTGCTGCCAGGTGCGTTACACATACATAAGTGCTGCCAGGTGCGTTACAGATACATAAGTGCTGCCAGGTGCGTTACACATACATAAGTGCTGCCAGGTGCGTTACACATACATAAGTGCTGCCAGGTGCGTTACACATACATAAGTGCTGCCAGGTGCGTTACACATACATAAGTGCTGCCAGGTGCGTTACACATACATAAGTGCTGCCAGGTGCGTTACAGATACATAAGTGCTGCCAGGTGCGTTACAGATACATAAGTGCTGCCAGGTGCGTTACAGATACATAAGTGCTGCCAGGTGCGTTACACATACATAAGTGCTGCCAGGTGCGTTACACATACATAAGTGCTGCCAGGTGCGTTACAGATACATAAGTGCTGCCAGGTGCGTTACACATACATAAGTGCTGCCAGGTGCGTTCCACATACATAAGTGCTGCCAGGTGCGTTACACATACATAAGTGCTGCCAGGTGCGTTACAGATACATAAGTGCTGCCAGGTGCGTTACACATACATAAGTGCTGCCAGGTGCGTTACACATACATAAGTGCTGCCAGGTGCGTTACACATACATAAGTGCTGCCAGGTGCGTTACAGATACATAAGTGCTGCCAGGTGCGTTACACATACATAAGTGCTGCCAGGTGCGTTACACATACATAAGTGCTGCCAGGTGCGTTACAGATACATAAGTGCTGCCAGGTGCGTTACACATACATAAGTGCTGCCAGGTGCGTTACAGATACATAAGTGCTGCCAGGTGCGTTACAGATACATAAGTGCTGCCAGGTGCGTTACACATACATAAGTGCTGCCAGGTGCGTTACACATACATAAGTGCTGCCAGGTGCGTTACACATACATAAGTGCTGCCAGGTGCGTTACAGATACATAAGTGCTGCCAGGTGCGTTACACATACATAAGTGCTGCCAGGTGCGTTACACATACATAAGTGCTGCCAGGTGCGTTACACATACATAAGTGCTGCCAGGTGCGTTACAGATACATAAGTGCTGCCAGGTGCGTTACACATACATAAGTGCTGCCAGGTGCGTTACACATACATAAGTGCTGCCAGGTGCGTTACACATACATAAGTGCTGCCAGGTGCGTTACAGATACATAAGTGCTGCCAGGTGCGTTACACATACATAAGTGCTGCCAGGT